AAAAAAAAAAAAAAAATAACTATAGTCTATATTGATGATGTTTTAGTATTTTCAGATATTATTGATCAATATCGTAGACATTTATGTAGATTTTTTAAGGAAATTCCATTGTGGTTTTATTTATGTTATAATAGAGTTTGAATTTTCAACTTTCTCAATTGAGAGTTTTAATCTTAAGTTATTCTCAGCCTAAAATTTACTTTTACATTTAAGTTCTCGATCGAAGACTCCAACGAACTTTGTATTGTGACATAATTAGGTACACCAAAATACTATTATTTTGAAATTTATATTTTTAAATACTTATAATTAAAAATATTAAACATCTTTAGTAAAGTTGCCTTATGAGAAGATAAATTCATATAATTTATATTTATGCAAAATCTCAATGAAATTTATTTTAAAAATTAAAACATATTGAAAATTAACGTTTAAGAATTTATAATTTAAATATCATTATAAATGATAATCTAAATATGTAATAAAATTTAAACAAACTATTTAGAAAAATTATTTATAATAGAAGATTTCTATTCAGTGTATTCCTTGGTGAATTTTTTGCTAGAAGATATTATCTCAAAATATTATCAATTGTTAATTTACAAAATAGAAAGATAAATTCAAACTTTAAAAAGGTGTTAGTAATAATTTTTGACAACCCCGTGAGTAGTCTGGAATTTTTTGAAACTTGTGATTTATCTATCAAAGGAAATGAATCAATCCCTTTAACAGTGTGATTGAATAAAAATACTTTAATTTTTCTAATATCAAACCCAAAGGAATGCAGGATTATTTGAAAATTTTTAAAATAAAATTATCATTAAATTGATATAAATTACGTATTTCAAAATTTTCTTAAATAATTTTATAATATTTAAATAAAAATTATTTTTTGTATTACACCTCGTGCATCGCAAGCAGTGACGGAATTGTCCCCCCAAACTTTTGCTTAATATATATGTATGTATATTCTAAGGCTTTTAATTTTTTAATATACACACATATATATATTATAGATTAAAAATTTAACTAATTAGTTTTAACTACATCATATTTTGTAGGTACTCTTTCAACAATATTTTATAATATTATGTGTGATCTAAAGTCCAATTAAATAATTATAGAATAAATTTGGAATAGAACATTCAACATATGCAATCCAATGGTTCAAAATATAATTGTTAGAACTATTCATACGACAGTAGACATTCTCTTAGCTATTTAATAGTTAGACAACACTCTTCCAACAAATATATTTATACTTTCATACTTGACCGGTTT